CCTCTCGGACTTGCTCATACTCAGACTTACTCATACCCAGACTTACTCATACTCAGACATACTCATATTCAGACTTACTCGTACCTAGACGTACACAGAAACATACTTACTCATACACAGCACCCCTAAGGGGAGCCGCCAGGGGTGCCGCCCCCAGTCTGTGGAGCTGATGCAAACTTTGAAGACGAATGTGCGCGGCGCTGAGGCGGGAACCACATTTTGAAAACCACCTGTTCCGAACAGCACTGCATGTGCGCTAAAGCGAGAGCCACATTTTTTGAAAGGGGGGGGTGTCTGGCTCCAGACCTCTGCTTAGTGCGACTGTTTGCAAGAGTGTGTCCCATGAGGGAGGGACTCCACCTGCTCGAAACAGGCACCGAAAAATAGCCACGATCTGCTCCACGGGGTGGGGGGGAGGGACGGGGGTGCGAGGGCCCGCGCCGATAGGCAAAACAAGGAATAGAAAACGATCACCATGTTTGAACCGCCTCTCGGGCCGGACGACAACGGTCTGCGGCGGCCGCTCGGGCCGATCGGGCCCCCTCCCGGGAAGGCTCTCGCGAGGAGGCGCAGCCGCTGGAAGCTGGAAGGCACCCCGAGGCTGGGCAGCCGCCGAGAACCACCGCAGACGACGACGACGACGACGACGACGACGACGACGACGACGACGACGACGACGTCGACGACGACGACGACGACGACGACGACGACGACGACGACTGCGGACCAGACTCCTATGCGGATTCCTACGCGAACACCTTTGCGGATCCCGATGCGCACGGCGGCAGTGCCAGGAGCGCACTGGGGGGGGGGAGCGCTACGTCATAGGGGGGGGGCTGGGGGCCGCTGGGGGCCATGACGCGTGTCATGCCCCAAGCAGTAAAGAAACACGCTCGAGGAGCCGGGCTCCTCCAGCAGTATGCCCACCTTCCAGCCGTTCGGCGTCGCCAGCGAATACAGCTGCATCGGGGAGACGTAGGGCGCGCGGGCTCGAGCGACACGGGTTGGCTCGACGGGGCCGTCAAGACAATGACGAGACCCAGACCGAAGTGTGGCGCGAGCTCCCGCTGCAAACATTCCAAGAAAACTGGACCGTCAACATTCAAGATTAGATGGGGTCCGAGTAGATGGTGAAGGAGGATCGCCGATGCATCGGCACCGTCGAAGTGTAACACATCGGGTTCCACATCGGCCGCATCGCCAACGCAGCGGCGATGCATCGGCGATGCATCGGCGACGCATCCGCGACGTCGGCGTGTGGAAAATCGGGCTCCACATCGAGCCGCATCGAGACGCATCGGCGATGCGGCGCCATCCTCCGACCCCATCTTCCCTGACCCCATCTGGGAGGCCCGACAGCCAGCGGCGCACTGCGGGGGGGCACTCGGCGAGGCGCTGCTGGCGCCAAGCAGGCCCGCCGCGGAGTGGCGAAGGCTTGGGGCGAGCAGCGCCGAGGCACCAGTGGCCCATGCGCGCTGGATTCGGCAAGGCGCTGCTGGACACGTCCGGGCGCGCCGCTGAGCTTGGTTTTCGGGTCACAACCCGGGTCCCCGGCGGCCGTTCGGGACGAGCCTGGCACCCCCGGAGAGCCTTCGGCGAGGCGCAGCTGCCGGCGAGCATCCCGATGCCGGAACTCCGCCGAGGACCGCCGAGGACGTCCGAAAATGTAGGACCTCGAGCCTCGGCCTCGAATTCGGCCAGGAGGCTTGGAGTTGTGGATCCCGTGCCAATGGACACCCTAACAGCCCTATCATTGAATGAAACATGTGTTTGAAATGCTTGAAACATGTTCTAAGCATGTTCACAGCATGCTTGAGACATGTTTTTTTTAACAGCGGACAATTTTGGAAGAAGACGGAGGAGGATGATGGGGGCGACCGCGATGCACCACATGGACTCCCGTGCACTCCTTGGCGAAAAGCGGCATAGCAGGTATTAGGCTGCGTGTCAGAGCCACCCCAGACTGGCTCGGACAAAAACAACTGGAAGAGGGGGGGAGGCGAGGAGGAGCAGAGGAGAGAGACGAACACGCCTGCCCAAGGATACGAATTCCCACAAACCCGTATCATCCAGAATGGGCACGTGTTTTCACCGGCCACGCGGCTGGGACAGGCATGCTTGAGACATGTTTGAAACATGTTCTAGACATCTGGAAATATTATTTAGCAACAATAGAGGCCTCCTAGATGGGGTCCGAGTAGATGGGGTCGGAGGATCTCGCCGCATCGCCAATACATCGGCGATACACTGGCGACGTCGGCGATGCATCGGCGACGTCGGCGTAGAGAAAAGTGGGTCCCACATCGAGCCGCATCTACGATGCATCGGCGATGCGGAGCGATCCTCCGACCGCATCTACATCGACCCCATCTGGGAGGCCCAGAAACAAGCCTCTCCCTGGAGTCTCACGTCTCTGATCGTCGCCCACAAGCCAGGAGTCTCACGTTTCAGGACGGCGTCCCCGGAAGTCCAGACCCTTTCCCCGGGGACGGTGTTTCATCCTGAGTCGTTTTGTTGACGGTCCCTGGGCCCGGCGAGGGACGAAAATAGCAAAAAACTTGCCGTTCCGTTTTTTTAAACGACGCGATCATGTCTGGGATTGATCGTCGCCCACAAGCCTGCAGTGCCAAAAATCCGACGTCGTGATTTTTCCAATGCGGGGTCCCAGGAAGTCCCGATCATTTCCCCAGGGCCGGTTTTTCATCCTGAGTCGTTTTCGGACGGTCCCGGGGCCCGGCGAGGGCCCCCAAGGGCCGAAAATAGCGAAAAACTTGCCGTCCTGCTTTTTTTGGAGCAGGGCCCGACCGTCCCGGCATTCGTATAGTCCTACCACGACATGTTCTTAGAACACAAAAATGCTCTTAGAAAAACACTAGGTTCTTCGAACCCGACGTGTTCAAGCAAAACGCTCCCAGCCAGAAACGTCCTAAGCACATCTCGTGGGAACCACGAGAAGGTTCTTAGAACATTGTTTGGTCGGGCTATAGGCGAGCCAGGACGCTTCGCCACTGCTCCATTTTTTACGACGCGGTCAGGTCTGGGATTGATCGACGCCCACCAGCCTGGCGTCTCACGTCTCCCCGGCTGGAGCGCAGCGGCGCCCGCCTCCAGCGGGGCCTCGCTGCGCGGCCCCGCCGTCGGCCGGTTGACGGGGGCCCGCGGCCGGCCCGGCCGGGCCGGAAGCGGCCGGGCGGCAGGAGGGGCAGACAGCGGCACAGACGCATTTCGAGGGTCTCCTTCTGCTCCTCCTCCCCCTCCTACTCCTCCTCCTCCTCCTCCTCTTCCTCCTCCTCCTCCCTCCTCCTCCTCCTCCTCCTCCTCCTCCTCCTTCCCTTGCCTCATCCTCCTCCTCCTCCTCCTCCTCCTCCTCCTCCTCCTCCTCCTCCTCCTCCTCCTCCTCCTCCTCCTCCTCCTCCTGCCTCCTCCACGTTTTCGGGGTTCGAGGACCTCGGACGCTTTCCTTGGCTCTCAGCGGTTTTCTGGCCTCGGGACGCCTTCCAGCCGCTGCGCCTCGCCAAAAGCGTTCCCGGGGGGGGGCCCGGATCGTCCCGAAAACGACCGCCGAAGGCTCGAGTTGTGTGCCCTGGCGGGGACGGGATCACCCTGAGCTGCGGGCGCTGTTTTTGTTTCACGCCGGGCGTCTTCGCCGGTTTTTCCGGGCCCATGGGCCATCACAGAGCGATCCGGCTCGAGAGATGCCGCAGAAAGATGGGGTCTAGGGCTCCAGTCGTGATTTCCCCCGCGGTTGCAATCTTGTTTCGCAGCGTCGGATCTCAGGGCACGCTGACATGGATTACGGATACGTGGATCTGGCGCGTCGGCGCCAGATCCACAGATCGGAGCGGCGGCAAACAGTGCGGTCGGGAATGTTTGCTTGGCGTGGCACGGCGGTGGCCCTGGCGACACGCTATTCCTGGGAAGGCGAAAACCCACCCCCACCCCCAGTCCCACACCCATCCCCGAACCCGCGATCCAGTGGGTCGGGACTGGGGGTGGGGGTGGTTCTTCGGGGTCCAAGAATGGAGACAACGCCCCCACCCCTAGTCCCGAGACTTTGAATCGCGGGCTCGGGGATGGGAGTCGGGACTGGGGCTGGGGGCGGGGGGGTTCGTCTTCTGAATTCCTTGCAAGCGGGTGGCGTGTCGCTCCGCTATGCAGGACGGGAGGCTCGGGACGTTGATGCCTGGGGACCGGGACGTCGTTGGCGTGTCGCGCCGAGGCGTGGTGGGCCAGAGCCGGCGGCGAGGCACGCTGAGCCAAAAAAAACTGACCGTACCTCCTCCTCCTCCTCCTCCTCCTCCTCCTCCTCCTCCTCCTCCTCCTCCTCCTCCTCCTCTGCGATGTGATGACAGCGACGTCGAAACGCACGATTTGTTAACACGTTTTCTGGCTCGCCACCTGAGAACTACTCAAATGGGCACGCAGACCGCTGTGGCTGCGCGCGGGCCTGGGGCACCCCGAGCCAAATCCTGCTACAGGCATGTCGTGAAAAGTGAAAGTAAGCAAGGACCACCGTCCACACCCAACCAACCTCTAAATTAGCATAGAGAACCTAGATACTGCACACAAATGCTCCTAGGGATGTCCTCCTCCTCCTCCTCCTCCTCCTCCTCCTCCTCCTCCTCCTCCTCCGGGGGCCGAGGGTCGCTTCCGCCCAGGATCTGCCCCCCGACCCCCGACCTTCGGCGGCAACTCCTGGGAGCCTCCCGTACCATCTTGTCGCCTCTTGCGAATCGGCGCTGATCGACGCTAAATCGACAGGAATCGACGCCAATCGACGCTGAATCTACATACGCTAATCGGCGCTAAATCGGCGCTGATCGACACGAAGGACAAAGTTAAAAGGGTACACCAGGCTCCGATCAATTGCTACCGAACCCGACCTCTCCCCCGTGCCCCGAAGACCAGAAGTGGGTCAATGGACACAGTCTTGCGAGGGGGAGCTGGCCCAGGGCTCGGGGGAGGGGGGGGGGGAAACATCGACCTGGAGTCGGCGGTGCGCCACGCCGATAGGTTTGGCGATGTGTCCCCGATCGCGAGCCTATATCCACCCCCAACGTTGCCACTGACTCGGGGCGCCGCCGACGCCGCCGAGGCAGCACCAGTCCGCCGTGCCCTCGACCACCCCCCCGCCCCCCGACCCCTTCCGGCGGCCAGCTGGCCGCGGCGATGGAGCAGAGGAAGAGCAAAACAAGCACAAGCACGCGGCAGGATCGTGATCCGGGCACTGCAATCTTGTCACCCCCCGCGGTTTCGCGTCCAAGAGGGGGGCGTCCAAGAGGGGGGGTGCAAATCATGGCGCGAGGCACGTGCGCGGACCAGGGGGGGGGCCAGGGAACGTCTTGAAATGAGAAGCGACGCCGTGAATGAGATCGGGGGAGATATCATGGCCCCCGCCATGATATCCCCCCCCCCTAATCATCACCCCCTTTTTAAATCTGCCGCCCCCGAACCCCGCGGTTTCGCCCGGCGCCGGGCCCTGGGACCACCAGGGATCGATCCTGCTCGGAAGGGGAACAGAAAAATGGGGCCTGTGGCCCTGGTCCAGGCTTGCGGGTCGGAAGCAAGGGGGACCTCGCAGAGAAGGGGGTAGCGAAACAGCGCAAGCTGACTTCTCCGGCGCCTCCCAGCGCTGGAGGCGCCAACGTATCGAGAAGAGCGACTGGCGGCGGGGCCAAAACCAGCTGCACGCAGCAATTTTCGCACCCCCCCGTTTCCCCATGCCCCAGTTCGTCCGACCCGAGGCGCGTGCCGTGAGGACCCTGGCGTTGGTGTCAGCGCAGCGTGTCGCAGCGGCGGCCCCAGCGACACGCTATGCCCTGCAATCGAATGGCGCGTCGATCCGCTCCGCAGGGCCGGGGACTGGGAAAGGCTCGACACGTTGACGTTCAGGAATCTGGAGGTGCTTAGCCTGTCGCGCCGAAGCATGGCGGGCCGCTGAGCAGAAGATCCAGGCCGCATGCTTTTTATGCGGTGCTTGCTCCTCGCTCTTCCCCGAATGGATCGGCGACTCCGAAGGGTGTGGTTTGCAAGTGGCGTGGCTCGCAACCGGCACCCGGAGAGGGCCCCCTGGGGGGGCGGGCGAGAACCTCGTTTTTGAGCTCTCCGCCGCGCCCCGAGGAGGCCTCACGAGGACAGCGTCGTGCCCCCCGGGCCCCAGCGGCGCCGATCGCAAACCACACACCGGCGTAACCACACCCTTGGTCGTCGCCGACGAATGGAGGCGAAGCTGCCCCCGGACACGGCGCTGTGGAGCTCCTCGATGGTGGCGGGCGGCACCCACTTCCTGGCGGCGGCCATGGCGTCGCTGGGCGCGGCGGACTGGTGGCCGGAGCGCCCGAGGCTGCGGCTTGAACGCTCGGGCGGGTGAGGTCCTCCGCTGTCTGCTTCGGTGTCTTCAAATGACCTCCTCCTCCTCCTCCACCTCCTCCTCCTCCTCCACCTCCTCCGTACCTCCTCCTCCTCCTCCTCCTCCTCCTCCTCCACCTCCTCCGTACCTCCTCCTCCTCCTCCTCCGCCTCCTCCTCCTCCTCCTCCTCTTCCTTCTCTTCCTCCTCTTCCTCCTCTTTCCCCTTCTCCTCCTCCTGCTCCTCATCCTTCTCCTCATAATGATGCGCCCCACGCTGCGGGCATCAGGGTCGATGGTCGACCCGTTCTCCTCCCTCTGCTCCTCCTCCTCCTCCTCCTCCTCCTCCTCCTCCTCCGCCTCCTCCTCCTCCTCCTGCTCCTCCTCCTCCTCCTTCCTCCTCCTCCTCTTCCGCCGCCTCCTCCTCCTCCGCCTCCTCCTCCTCCTCTTCCTCCTCCTCCTCATGTTGGTCCTCCTCCATGCTTTTCCCTTGTAAATAACTTGTCCTGTCGCACCCAGAGGCCCATCGAAAGGGCGGGACGGGCGTTTCACCTGAGACTTCCTCACCATGTATAACCCTAAAGCTGACAAGTTGACAACAGCCTTACAAATTGAAGGCGGGTTGTTCTCAAAATGTGGTGTTCGCCTTACCGCCGCGTACATTCGTTTAAACAAATTGCAAGAGCTTCGCGGATTGAGGGCGGGTCGTTCTGAACATGTGGCTTTCGCCTCAAAGCTGCGCACATTCTTTATAACAAAAACAATAATTCCGCGGGTTCCGATCGTCAGCGTACCCGAAATGGTGTCTGGAAATGTGCAGAATCATGATGATACAACAATTACTTTGGTTCACGGTGCTGAAATCCCAGGAATTGCGATGTGGCGCGATTCAAGATCGTCAAGACGCAACAATCCGGTTGATCCCCGTGGCGTTGGAGTCCCCCAAAAAAATTGGGTGGCACGCTTCAAGCTATTCAAACGGTTGTCTTCCAACGAGGCAATTCTTTCAGTGGGCATGAACCGTTGTAGGGGCTATGAAGAGGTAAGGCGACTCGGCCGTTTCGCTTGGAACTTCCCCACCAGTTGATTACGATGCTGAAGCTTTCAGCCACCTAACGGATGGACGGGGTGGTTTGCAACATGTGGCTCTCGTGTTCGCGCCCCGCACATTCATCGCACACGTTCTCCAACCGCGTCACTGATGGGGGACGATTTTTTTGAACATGTGGCTCTCGCCTTGTAGTGTAGAGCCGCGCGCATTGTTTGCAGCAGCTTCGCGGATGGAGAGGTGGTCGTTTTCAAAATGCGGCCCTCGCATTATCGCTGCACGCATTATGTGTAAAACTTTGCAGGTTCAGGGATGGAGGACGGTTCCTTTTCAAAAGGGCGGTCTCGCCCCAATGCAGCGCTGGCCTCGCGGATGGAGGGCGGTTCATGTTGTAATTTGGGTGTTTGCCTCACGCCGTGAACATCCGTGCACATCCGTTTCTCTTAAAACACCACGCTTCGCAGGATGGAGGGGTTCTCTGGTCAAACAGCGAACTCGCGCCTTAGCAACCGCTGAATCAAGGCACGGGGCACTGCACGGATCCATAGCGGCTCTTTTCACAATGGGGCGATTGCTTGAAACGTCCTCGAAGTTCACAACCACCCGGGTAAACTTGTGTAACAATTACACGAAGGGGGGGCGATCCTTTTTCGAACAAGAGATATCGTTGGACATTCCGTTGGCCCGTTCAGGCATCGTGCTACCAGAAGCAACGCTTAATCAGGAACGGACGCGCTTGCCTGGCCACGCTGGGCCACGGCCACGAATCGGTTCCCCGATCGAACTTTACGGGGCGGCCCGAAAACAAAGCCAATCCCCATCACAAATGGTATGTATTTCAACTTCTTGGCTGCGTGATGAATATTGCCCCTTGCATTCCGGAATACGCGCCGAAGCGATGCAAGCTTGTCTTTTTTCAAAACAGGGCCCTCGCCAACGTTGCAGGCCCAGCTGCGGTGGTCTTCCAAGGGGGCGCTTCTCGCAGTGAGAGGTGGGACGAGTATTTAGGGGCGCGCGAGGAAGCAACTACAGGAGGGTGAATTGTAGCATCGGTTATGCATTTTCGGGTTTGTCTGGTTTTCCTCCTCTTTTTCCTTTCCATCATATTTTTCCTCCTCTTCTCCCTCCTCCGCCTCGTCCTTCCCTCCATCCTTTCCTCCCGTCCCCCTCATCCCTCCGCGTCTGGACAGTGTGAATACTCCCTGTTCTCCCCCTCTGACCCTGTACGGAATATGTTTCGCCCCCCCGACGCGCCCTGCATTTTTCCACGCAAAATTGGGCCGACCTCGTTTTTGTTAACTTTGTGCGCGCGTGTGCAATCACATGGTGTTCCACTTGCGCCGGCAATGGTGATCTCGACGCAGTGGGCCTCGCGTTGGGATCGGCGCTGTGTTCCTGTCGTTCAGACTGGCGTTCCCGCACCAACGTGGGCAACTTTTCTGGGTCCCGCAAGTGTTGCAGGTCCAACAAGTCTCGCAAGCCCCGCAGGCCCCATAGGTCCCGGGGGTCCCACATGACCCACACGTGCCAAAGGTCGCCCCACAGGTCCCACAGGCACCACAAGTCTGAAACATTCCACGCGGTCAACAGGTCTCACAGGCGCCGCAGGTCACGGTCTCGCCAGCCCTACACGTCTCACAGGTCCGACAGGTCCCACAAGTCCCAGATCTGTCGCATGTCTCACACGTCCCACAAGTCCCCCCAGGTCTCACACGTTCCTCTGGTCCCGCCGATGCCGCCAGTCCCACAAGTCCCACGGGTGTCGCAGGTCTCACTGGCCCCACAAGCCACAAAGGTCCCCAAGCCGAACTGGTCCCACACATTTCCTGTTTCCGACCACGCATGATGCGACAGCGTCTTCCATGGAGTCCCAGGACGGCTATGACGCGCGCCCGTGGATAGACAAACAATCAGCGCAGCGGGAAGGGACGCGAGGGAAGGGGCAAGATGTCAGACAAGGCGCAAGCGCGCCTGGCCTGCCTCTCCTCTCATCTCCCCCCGTCCCCTCCCCGCCCGTCAGGCATGTGCAGCCCTGGACTGGCCGAGCCCGTACTTTTTATAAGCCCTGGAAGGGCTGCACCTTCGGGGCCCGAGCCCACCCGCCCCATCCCCTCCCCCGCGCGTGGCCACGGCGCGCCAGATCCTCGTTCGGGCCGGTGCCGAAGGCCGCGCTCAGCGCCTCAGATGCGTCGTGACCGCGGCGAGCGGGGCATGGACCTCCTCAGGCAGAGAAGGGAGCGCGCCGCGCCGCCCCTCCCTCCCCCGCCCCCTCCCCTCTCGCAGCGCGTCCTGGCCACGACCCGGCCACGACCGACCCGCCTCCCCCCCCCCCCCCGGTGTCCCGGCCTGGCGCCACCCCCTTCCCCCTCCCCCCAGCGAGCGCGATCAGGATTGCTGTTGCTGGGCGCGTCGCGGCGGCGGGCCCTGCGACGCGCCATGCCCTGCGAGCTGGTCGCGGGTCGCCCTGCCGAACGGAAGGGGGGGGGAGGAGGGAGCGGGGAGGTCGATCGGACTCAGCCTGGATCGGTTTCGATCATGCTGTCAGAAGGGCTCTCGTCACACACGCGCGTCCCACGCGCCCCGGTCATGCGCCTCCGTCGCTGTGGAAAAGGCCCACGGAACACTCCCCCCAATAGATCTCCTGAGGCACGGGTTTCAGATGATTCGAAAAGACACAGTACGTCTAAACGAGACAGCAAGCACTCGGGCGGGGAGGAGGGAGGTGGAAGGAAGGAGAGGAGGGAGAAGAGGAAGAGGGGTACTCGCTCCCACGGCATCCCTAAGAAAGGAGGAGGCAGAGGAGGAGGAGGAGGAGGATGAGGAGTACGACGACGACGACGACGACCAAGACGTCAAGACGTCGAATACGACGACAACGACGACGACGACGACCACGACGTTGATCGAAAACGACGACGACGACGACCACCACCACCACGAGGACTACGACGACGAGGGTTTTTCTGTCCTCTCGACCCCGACGGCGGCGGCGCGCTCTCGGCGCGCTCGCGGGGGCTGGCTGCGGACGCGCAGCCCGGGACCCCCCGCTCGGCCGCCGTGGCTGCTCCTGCTGCAGCCTCCTCTTCCTCCTCCTCCTCCTCCTCCTCCCTCCTCCTCCTGCTCCTCCTCCTCCTCCTCCTCCCTCTCCTCCTCCTCCTCCTCCTCCTCCTCCTCCTCCTCTCCTCCTCCTCCTCCTCCTCCTCCTCCTCCTCCTCCTCCTCCTCCTGGCAGCGCCAGCCCTCACCCCTCCGACACCAGCAGGGCCACCGCGCGCTCCAGGCTGCCGCCCGCGCCCGCCAGCGCCGCGGAGAGCGCCTGGCGCCCGCAGCTCCCGAAGCCCATCTCCTCCAGCGCCGCCACACCCGGTCGCCGGCCCTCCTCGGCGCGCAGGGCCCGGCCCTCGCCCTCGCATGCGTGCAGGTGGCGCGCGAGCTCGCGATGGGCCGATTGTCCACCACCACGGCCATACGCAGGAGAGGGAGGCAGAGGAGGAGGAGGAGGAGGAGGAGGAGGAGGAGGAGGAGTGGAGGAGGAGGAGGAGGAGGAGGAGGGAGAGGAGGAGGAGGAGGAGGAGGAGGAGGAGGAGGAGGAGGAGGAGGAGGAGGAGGAGGAGGAGGAGGAGGAGGAGGAGGAGGAGGAGGAGGAGGAGGAGGAGGAGGAGGAGGAGGAGGAGGAGGAGGACCTCCCCATCCTCCCTCCTACCCATGGTAGTCGTGGTGGAAAATTGGCCCATCAGCTCGTGCATCGCGCCCGCGAAGCGCTGCCCGCAGAGGTGGCACGCCAGCTCCGCCAGTGGGCCGCCCGGCGGGGGCCCGCCCGGCAGCGCGCCCTCCGCGGCCAGGCGCGCCGCGGCGAGGCCCAGCGGCAGGAAGCGGGCGCGGCCGCCGGTGAAGTCCTCGAAGTGGCGGCGCTCGAGGTCCCCGGGCCCGGGCGCGCGCAGGTCCGCGCTGAGGACGTGGGCGTGCAGCTGCTCGGCGCCGCCCTGGCGCAGCCGCAGGCCCGCCGCGAAGCGCAGCCCCTGCAGGCCCGCGCGGCCCGCCAGCTGGCACGCCAGGTGCGCCGCGTAGGCCGCCAGGCGCGCCAACGCTGGCGCCTCTGCGGCCGTCGCATCCAGGCGCCTGATGAGCCGCTTCGGGGCGACGATCAGGTGCACGGTGCTCTCGCCGGGTGTCGCTGGAAGTGCCCCCGGCCCAAGGTGCTCCCAACGTTTCGCGCAACTTTTGGACCACTCTGGGCCTCGTGAGGGGGTGCTCTGGAAGCCGTCTGCGCCTCCCCGGGCAAGCTGAGGTCACCTTGGCCCAGGGCCACCAGGAGGGATGGAAAACTGCATAAACACCCACTTTCGACGTTCCGCGCGGATTTATTGGATCTGCGCCGGACTCCCCTCCCTGGCACGCGGAGCGCGTCAGGCAGCGCCGGAGGCGCCGCCAGGGGGCCCAGCGCCGATCCAAGAAACCCGCGCGGACCTCAAAAATTCACGTCTATGCCGCACGGCAAGTTCGCGTAGTGTCGACCCTGGCGTTGGTTCCTGACACCGCGGGGATCGTTCAAACTTGAACGATCGGACGTTCCGTGAACGCCGGATCGTTCAACGACGGGCCGATTCTGGGCCACGGGCGGCGTTCAACGTCAAACGCACGCTGTGGGGTCGCCGCCAGTCGGCACGACGCGAACCTGCCGTACGCGAACTTCTAGCGACGCCCGATCTTGGGCCGCAAGGGGTAGAGGGCGACGAACTCCTTTGAAGGTCGGAGAGGGGTGTGCCAGAAAGGGGTGTGGTGCCAATGCTGAGTCTGACGATGCTACCCATAGAAGATAACATCTCCCTTTTCACGATTGGCACCACACCCCCAGAGATCCGACGTCGTGACTGTTTCAATACGGGGTCCCTGGAAGCCTCGACCGATTCCCCAGGACCAGGTTTTCATCCTGAATCCTTTTTCGACGGCCCCAGGGCCCGGCGAGAGCCCCCAGAGGCCGAAAGTTATGAAAAACCTCCGTCTTGACTTCTTCAGTGCGTTGCATCTCTGGGCCCCTTTGTGCCACACCCCTTTCCTACCTTCGGCGGTGGACAAACCTCCCTTTAATAAACCTCCCCTTCGTGAACACGGCCTGGGACCGAAACCGGCGGACCTGGACCCGCAAGAACGACGGCCGCGACGCCCTCTCGCGAACCGAAAACGGCCGATTCCTGAATCGACGTGTCCGGGCAGGAGGTCTGTCCACCCCCGATACAGTCGAGGCGTTGACCTAAGGAACCCTAAATAAGGAACGAGGCCCCTTTTTCCCACAGGTTCAACCTCGATTTCCCATGGAAAGCCGCAGGAAAACCCGAGGCAAACCTTGAAACAATCAAGGAACACCGAGCCCCTCCCCAACGAAAAGGGTTCCCTCTTCAGCGCCCCGACCTGTACCTCCCGAGGCTCCGACGTCTGGTGGAAGACCAGCTGGGAGAGCCGGCCGCGCCCCCGGCTCTTGCGCTGGATGCCGGAGAGGCTCTGCAGCGCCTCCCGCACCCAGCAGCCCTCGCGCCCCGCCGCTCGCGAGGGCGCCGCGGGCTCCTGCTGCGCGGCCCTCGGGGGCGCGTACGCGGGCAGCGCCGAGGCCTCCAGCTCGCGCAGCAGGTCCTCGCGCCCGGACCCCCCCCTCGACTGCATGGTCTGCTCAAGGCTCAAGGCGTCTCCCTGCACCGACCCTGCAGGCGTGCTGAACAGCGGACTTCTGCGCGGATCCCTGCTGGCGGTGGGAAACCCTGGAGCATCGCGAGCGAAGATAGCGCAGTGAATTTCGCGTGGATGTTTGTTGGGTCTTCATCCCTGGCCCCAAAAAATCCGCACGAAATTCACCTCGAGATCCGGGACGAAACTCTCCAGGACATCCTGGGCCCATCCGATCGTCTTCCGAACGAAATCCGCTCTGCGATGTTGGCGCCATGACACTTCCCTGTAGAGGGCCGGTCTGTCGTCCGGAGTCCGTTTTGTTGACGCACCCGAGGCCCGGCGAGGGCCCCCAGAGGCCGAGAGCTGCCCCCAACTTCCCATGACACTTCCCTGTAGAGGGCCGGTTTTTCGTCTGGAGTCCATTTTGTGGACGCACCCGAGGCCCGGCGAGGGCCCCCAGAGGCCGAGAGCTGCCCCCAACTTCCCGCCTCCAGCTTTTGCCAGGGAGTCGGATCTCTGGGCCCAGAGGCCGCGAACGGCGAAAGGCCTGCCGTCCTGCTCTCTTTTCTCGCGACGCGAGGGGTGGGCAGCGACCAATCCACGCTCAAACCCATGGGGAGGAGGGATGGGGAAGGGCACGGCGATGAAGCCGCCATGGGCATGGGTGCGAGCTGCCGGACCCCGAAGGGCGTTCCCGTTCGAGCGGGGACCCCTATCCAACAACACACGCCCACAGCCCTGCCCAGAATGTCACCCCAGGAATTCGAAAGGTCGTGTACCCAGACACGCGACGTCTTCATTTTTTCAGTACGGCGTCTCCAGAAGTCCAGACCCGTCCCCTGGGGCCGGTTTTTTTATCCTGAGTCGTTTTCGGACGGTCCCGGGGCCCAGCGAGGGCCCCCCGGGGTCGAAAATGACAACAAACTTGCCGCCACGATTCTTTCACGACGCCATCCTGTCGGGGCCAGGAGTTCGAGGGGTTGAATAGGTTCGGGTGTCAGCTGTCGGCTCGTCAAGGGTTGGCGGCGCGCAGAAGGGAATGGGAGGGGGGAGGGCTTCTTAGAAGGAGACTGCTTCTTAGAAGGCGCTGGCCTTACATCCACAGATACGGCCCGCGCCTTCTCAGAAGCAGGGGTGCTTCTACTTAAGAAACCCTCCCCCCTCCCCCCACCCCCCTCTGCGCGTGGCTGAAACCCAGAGATCCTATGTCGTGATTTTTCAATACGCGGTCCCCAAAAACCTCGACCATTTCCCCAGGACCGGTTTTTCATCCTGAGCCGTTTTTTGAAGGTCCCGAGGCCCGGCGAGGGCACCTATAGGGGCCGAAAATGGCAACAACAACAACAACAAAAACTCCGTCTTGATTGTTGCACAGTCACTCTGCAGTGCCATCTTAGTGATATGTTCACGAAGAGTTGCCAATGATATCGCGCACTCTTTTGCCCACGCGTCCCTCCGGATGCACGGCTCAGTGGTGGTGGTGGTGGCTCAACGGACTCCAGTTCCTAGCGAACAGGAGTCCGCGTCACCGAGTCACCGAGGATCAGGAGGAGGAGGAGGAGGAGGAGGAAGAGGAGGAGGAGGAAGAGGAGGAGGAGGAGGAGGAGGGAAGAGGAGGAGAGGAGGAGGATGATGGAGGGAGGAGGGGTCCTCGTGGCAGGCGCCGTCGCCGCCCTCCAGGGCGCCCGGCCACGCCTCGCAGCGGAGCGCGCACCCCGTGGCCGGCGCGCCCCCGGCGGCGGGCGCCCCGGCCTCCGGGCACGAGCCCACGGGCTCGACCCACAGCTCCGCGATGCCCCCCTGGGGGAGCCAAGAGGTACACCCAGGCATTTTCCCCTGAGATCCTGGTGACTCAGTTCTTTCGAGCCGGGCGTCTCCGCAATTTCTCGGGTCCCGGGAGCCTCACACATCGAGGAGGAGGAGGAGGAGGAGGAGGAGGAGGAGGA